TAAGCCAATAAACAGCAAAATGCAGATTCAAATTCACAGAGTCAGGCCTCCAAACTCACACATAGCCACTCCTCATAATGCCCCTTTCATCTCTGTATGCCTGCATTTAATTTTTAAATTGACTCACATTTAGACTTTAAAAATTATATCACTCTGTGCCATCTATCTGTGCAATCCGGGGCCTGATATGCTAGCTATAATCTTGGTGCATGCAAAAAACAACTACAATATTATGGAGATTAAAATACTTCTTTGAGCCACCTAAAATCACCAATGAAATAAACTTTCAGAGGCTGGCCTTTTATACACCTAGGAGTTCCTTCTATCTCGAGCCAAAAAACCAACTAACCACTTCCTAGCAGTGCCCTCTTCAAGACCCATTCTCCACCTCCCCTTTGCAAAAGAAACTGGACTTTGATCAGGCACGTGGCTGCCAAGCTGAACGACTACATTTTCTTTTCAGCTGTGGCTCTGTGAAAGAGCTCTGCCCAATGGGATGCAAAGGGACATCATAGGTGGGGCTTGGAAGACTCCTTAAAAGGGAAGGAGCCTGTTCTTCATTCTGTCCTCTTTGCTTTTGAGAATGAGCACACAGGGACAGTGATGAGGCCACAAGTCACCATCCTGAATCATGAGAAATATGCCAAGGATGTCAGCACCATAGAGGGAAGGAGGGTCATGAAACTATCACACCAGCTCTATCCTACCTACCTCTATACCTCTTTTATAGGCAAGACAGCTAAATCTCTATCTATACTATTAAGACGCTGGTAAGATTTTCTGCTGCATGCAGCTGAACTTCATTCTATAAATATACCATCCCTCCCTCACTCCAGCATCTCTCCACTCTTCAACCAGAACTCAATCAGAAGCAAGCAGAAGGACCCGAGTTCAATCCCCAGTACCAAAAAAAAAAACTCAATCAGAAAATTCTACCCAGAGGAAATGTCTCCTAAGTAGTGCTCAACAGGCTGAGTTCTGGACAGTAACTACTGCCACTTATGTGTTCATTTAGGAACACTCTGCTGTAAACACTTTATTTATATTATTCCATGTAATACTCCCAACATGCCTACCTAATAGGGACTGGATAGTCACATATAATAGAAACTGAGGCACAGACCAGTTGAGTATCTTATCTAATGTCACACAATTAATAAGCGACAGACCCAGACTTTAAACCCAATAATGCAACCCTAAAGGATCTCAACCTTAATGATCTTTCTCCAAAATTAAACAGATATCAGAATGGCTTCCTCCTTGGAGACCCCTGGCCACTCTGTGAAGACCAAAATGACTTTGCCTCTAGAAATCATGCTGGGAGCCCCAAAGAGATTCTTTCTGTCATTATATCAACACCATATTTTAAATAAGACCAAATGCAAGTTGGATGTTTGAGCATAAATGTTGGATGATTCATTTTGTGGGTGAAAGGTATTTTAAAAGATGGCCAAAAGGAATGTCCAGAAAATCTTTGCTCCTGACCCTCAGGAATTCCACCTGGCTCCCCAGGTACCCTGGTCAGAGCAGGACACGTGCCCCCCCCCGCCAGCCACCACAGAGTTAATTCATATTTCTCAGGCCTGGCACATGTTCAGTCAAAAACCTGGCTGAGTGCCTGTTGTTTACTGAAGCTGGAGAAGAAGCATCTGCAACATTATGAAAAGCATATTGTAAAAGGCAACACATGCAAATTAAACCTCTTGAGCTATGAGTAAATTGCTGGGAAAATTTATAACTCATTTAATAAAACTTGAAGTAAATACATAGCCTGGCTCCCAGGGAAAACAAAATATTTCCCACAATTCTCTCCTCTGAAGGAAAAAGAAATAGAAGAAGAAAAGGGAAAAAATAGAAAAGGACCATCAAGCTAGAGGCTCTATCAAGTATAAAGGACAAATAGCAATACGAGCAGTGAGCAAATCCCACTTGGGATCCCGGGGCATTTAATACCCAAAGGGCAGTGCCACACTCTCCACTCTGGGAGGTACGTGACAATGTCCAGGCCAAAGCCATTTCTCCAATAACCCATCACTGTGCTCTCCCAACAAGACTCGCCTGGGCATCTTCTATTCATTAATCCATCCAACAAGTATTTGTCCAGTGTCTACTAGAGAGGCACACGGTCTGGAGCCCCATTGTCTGGCCTCTAATCCAGTCTTTGTCACTTTCTACCATTATGACCTCAGGCTATTGTGTTAAGCCTCTGTATTTGTTTTCTTACCTGTAAAACAGGAATAACAATGATACCCCCATTTTATGGTCATTGTGGAAACCGAATAGATTGATATACATAAAGTATTTAGAATAATGCCTAGAAAACAGTAATTTTTTGGAATATTAGCTACCTAGTTTGTATGAGCTAGTGTCATGGTCCAGCCACTCTGGTAGGTGCACAGGGTACAAGATCAAACAAGGCAGAAAAGGCTCTGTGTCATGGAGTTCAGATTCCACCAGGGGTAGACAATACACAGACACATGAATAAGAAACACCTTTTATGACAATCACAGGTGCTCTGGAAAAAAACGAAAAAGAGTAAGAGACTGGTGAGAGATGGCTCCTTGGGAGTGGGAACTCCATTTCTACGGCTAGCAAAGAAAGTCCCTTTGAGAAGGTGACATTAAAACTGAGACAATAACAAGGAACCAACTTAACCAAGAATGTTCTGCACAAAAGGAGTATCTTCTTAAATATTGTAAGACAAATAGGTAAAAGAAACACATTTGCTCTCTCTGAGTGAAAGCCCCCAAGGTCAACAGGCCAGAATGCACAGAACTAGGGGCAGTATGTGACATAGGGTGGGACAAAAAAGCAGGACAAGAACAGACCACGCACTAGTAGGATATGGCAGGACTTTGGATTTTACACCAAATGCAACAGGTAACCACTGCAAGGAGTTAAGACACCACAGTGACAGGGCCCAACTAATAGTTTAGAAGCTTACTCTGGCTGCCATATAGTGAATGGACTGCATGGAGAAAAGGGGAGAGAGAAGCGGCTCTAAGGCTACTATGGTAGTCCTGGTACAATGTGCTCGTGCCTTGGCCCAAGAAGCCAGTAGAGAAGATTTAGAAAATATTTTTAGAGTAGAGTTTACTGGACTTTCTGATGACTTGGATGTAGGGGAGAAGGCAAGAAAGAAATCAAGAATGCCTCCTGGTCGGGGTGGTGTGTCCATCTACCTTTGATGGACACTGTAGAATGTGGAGCAGACAGGGTTTCTAATCTAAAAAAAGCCCTAGGGAGAGTTGGTTACAGAAGCTTGATACAGTACACATGAAACAGAACCAACAGAAGATGAGAGTGAAGTGCTTCAGTGCATGGTTCAGAGTCCAAGATTCAAAGAGAGAAGAGAGCTTCATGGGCTGGAGTTTTCATGGAAGGTCACAGTCAACAGAGTATCCAATCTGGCCTTTAAGGTCATAGTCTTTGGTGTTTCACAAAGAAAAGGTCCCATGACATCATGTGGAAGAGAATAGCCCAGTATGGTCCACACCAAAGAAGTGAGGTCCATCACTTGTGACAGATGATGGCTTTCATCCAGTTCATTATTGCTTTATTGGGCACATGCCCAACCCAAAGGGCAAGTGGGCAGCATGTGATAACCTCATTCTACTGGTCATCCTTGCTCCCATTCTTCAAGAAAAAATCAGAATATCCTTGGGCACAACTGTCAAGGCACAGATACATGGACACATGGGGCAGTGGCTGGGAGCTCAGGGAATGTGGTCAAGCAGACCTGGGTTCAGACCCTAGTTTGAATAGCCATTACTCTGTGACCGTGGATAAGTTACTTTTTTCTCTATTCCTCAGTTTCTACAAAATGGGATAAGAATGACATCTCCCATTCTCCTTAAATAAAGTAACACCCTTTAAGGGCTTAGCACAATGCCTGAGTAGGATAAAGTTCTCAGTGATTTCTAATTAAAGAAGAATGGTTCCTCCCAGAGCATCCTGTAGGTCTTGTGTCATAGCTTTTATATCCTTGATGGTTATTACCCATCTAAGCATCTGTCTTCCTCACTAGTTCTTAACTACCCATGAAGTGTTTTGGGTTACTCAGCATTATTATGAGCAGCTAATATGGTGCCCTGTATTAATCATCATCATCATAATACTGTAATTATTTATAATTTATGGTAGTCAATATTTACAGAACTCTCACCATGTGTTAAGCACTTCACTAAGTACCCTGTAGGTATTATGTTGTTGGTTACACAGTGGTGGTTAGGAGCCTAAAATACTTCATCATAAATCTCTATTCCATTGCTTCCTACCTAGCTGACTTTTGGTAAATTATTTAACTCTTCTACCACTTAGTTTTCTCATCCGCAAAATGGGGAAGAAGCAATATTTCCCTCATTGAGTTGTTTGGAGGATTAAATGAGTTGGTAAATGTGAAGCTCATAGTAAAGGTTAAGGTCATAGTCTTTGGTGTTTCACAAAGAAAAGGTCCCATGAGATCAGGTATTAATAACTCTATGATGCTGCTGTCATCCCCGTGTTAAGAGAGAAATAAAGGCACACAGAAGTTGTCCATAATTCTGACACCTACAAGGCCACTACAGGGACTGCTAAAGCCGGGTGCCAAGCAGGCAAACCGGCCCCACCACAAGCCTTCTATTGAGTACATATGGCCATGCACTCTGGGGTCCCCTTTGCAAATACTGTACATTCAGGTTACTTTGAACTAGAGAGCCTTTCCCCTCAGGACCAGGTAGACATTCTGCCCCCACTCCTGGGATTGGTTCTGACCCTCCCCCAAGTCATGGTGCTACAATTACTCACCTTCCTGGTGGGAATCTCAGCACTACACAAAGGTCTTGCTAGCCTAAACTGTAGGAGATTACCCTAGCATAAGGTTGGAAACCTTTGGGGCAGTGGTATTACAAAAATCTGAGTGTGAATCCCAGCTTTGTCACTTACTTGCTTCCTGGCCTTAGCAAGTTACCAAACTTATTCAACAGAGCTGAGCCTTGGGTGACTCATCACTAAAATGGGATGAAAAATAGTACCTACCACAGGCCTGACAGAAAATGAATGGTAGTGGATGTAAAACACCTGGCACAGTGCCTAAAGCAAGAAGAGCTCATACATGTTAGGAGCTGTCATTGTGATGCTGCTATTGTTATTGTCACAGTAGCTTTGTCCTAAAAGGACTTTCTCCCAATATAGTATGCCTTTCCCCAGTGTATCACACAGGCCAGGGGAAGGCAATACAAGCCCTTCACTGGGATTTCTGGAAACTGCTCCAGGAAGCCTGCCCTGGCCCTCACATGATTATTTGTAAGGGCTGCAGATGGTGGCAGTGCAAACAGGAGATCCTGGTGCAGGGGAACTTTTGAAAGTCCTGACAGTTTCTCAAAGAACAAAGGCAGAAGATGACGGCTTCTGACTCAAGGCTCCAGGCCTCTCTCTCATCTCTCATGTATGTGGACATCACTCAGGCCCATCAGATCCCAAGACTGCTGTCTGCTGACTGACAACAGAAAGAGAAATTTAGAGGTGTGAGCAAAATGACAGAGCTGTCACGGCAGCCTCTGAAATGACTCTTTTCTTAAAGAAAGGAAAGATAACAGTGGGGGAAAAAATTCTCAGACAGCTGCAATACCCTGTCACAGTTGCTGGGACAGGTTTGTGTTTTGTTTTCCAAAAAAAAAAAAAGCTTTGGATGAATTTAAGAAATGGGAAGAAGAAAATAGTTTACCCCCAATTTTAATCTGTCCTTTATAAGAGTAAGACAGAATTTAGAATACAAGTTTTGTCCTTTGGACACAAAAGAGGAAAATGTCAGCTAGTTTTATTTGTGGAAAGGGAGAATTTTTCTTCACCCTTCAAAAAATGTTTAAATATAAAAAAAAAATACTACCAGACCCCAAAGGCTCCTTTCCTTTCAATGGGACCAGCTCATGTGCTCAGATCCCAGTTCTTGTGTGGACTCTGGGCCAACCCATACCATAGTGACCAGCTCTGGGCTACTTGGGTTGCAGCACATGGAGGTCACATGTTTGTCAAACATTCAGAAAACAGCCAAGCAATATGTCCAAGAGCCAGACCTCGCTCCCCCTTCCTGCCAGCCAGTATTTCCTGCCAGTGTTGATAGTTTAAAACGTCTTGTTTCTTTCTTTACATCCAAATAACACGGGAAACTTGGGGGAGGATTCTGAAAAACAAAGGTCTCCAGACTGAAATGCACAAACTGACTTTACATCCTGCCTCCCTTTAACAGCAGGGATGTCCTTGACCAAGGAGATCATGTTTCAAAGGCCCCCATTTGCAGTTTTCTGTGAGCCCTAACTTTACAATAGCCATGAGAAGAAATAGATTCCCAATCTTACCCACAGGTCATGCACAGCCCAGAAAGAAATGCCTTTATTAAAATAATGCCTTGGAAAACCCTGTAATTCTAATAGCAAAAGAACAGATCATAATAGATGAGAGGAAATTGCACTTGGAGCATTTTTCCAAGAGTCTGGGAGGGCTGAGCAGGCCAGAATAAGAAACCCCATCCCTGCCTGCAAAACACTCCAGGAGAACCACAAGCCTACAGTGGATTGCTGATTGATGTAACACTTGGATTAAAAATACACGGCATGAAATACAATTTCCAGAGAGGAAAAGGAAGTTCTTGATGAGCCTGGTGAAAGAGTGATAAAAGCTTCACTCAAGGCTTCCACTTTAGTATCAGATTGTGGGAAACTTTCATTGAAACAACCCAACTGAGTCCATTAGCCATCCATCCGAGAGTGTGACATAAACCCTTAACACGTTGGTGGAGAGAGAGCCCTATAATCGCTCTGATTTCCTGCTGGGAAAAGACAGAAGGCCAGTCAGCAGATGGGGAGGCTGTCTAAAGACACCCCAAGAATGAGAGAAAGAAAAGAAGAAAATGTGCATGGGAAAACAGAAAGAAACCAATGTGAATTTCTACATCTTTTCAACAGCATCTCTGCTTGGCAGTACTGACTTGGCGCTGCTGAGGACCTATTTACAGTAGCAGGTAGGAGTGAAAAGACTGGGCCCTGGTTTGGGCTCTTACTATCTGTGGCTTTGAGCGTATCATTCACTCTCTTGGGCCCTTACATCCTCAGCTCTAGACCCAGAATAGTAAATAGTGCACTTCCTTCACTTTTGAGTTATTTAGAACATCCAGTATGACAATAACCATGGGAGCTGATATGGATTGAATATAGTTTGTCCCCTCTGAAATGGAGATTTGAATTGGATGACCATTATGGCTGACCATTGAGCCACTTTAAGAGTTGATTTGGTCATTTGGAGGGGTTAATGTCTTCTGATGGGAGTAGGTTAGTTATTGTGAGAGTGGGTTGTTAGAAGGTGGGTTTAACCCCTTCTGATCCTCTTTATGCATGTTCCCAGTTGTCCTTCTGCTTTTTGCTCTGAGTGAAAGCATCGTGTGGCAGGTGACATGCTCTTGGTCTTCCCAACCTCCAGAACTGTAAGCCAGAGTTAATTTCTTCCCTTTATAAATGATCCAGCCTCCAGCATTTTGTTATAACAATAGAAAAGAGACTAAGACAAAAATGTTTTTAAGATTTTGAAACAATAAACAAATGTAAATATTTCCCAACACTGTCCCCACTTCTGGTGCCCAGGGCTGCATGAGAGAGGAGTATGAGAGTAAGTAGAATACTATCCCATAGATAGACCTCATAGGAGAAAGTACCATAACGTATGTCAGGACTCAAGGAATAAAAGTCCCAGCTAGACAAGGTAAAATATGGAGGTAGTTTTCAAAAACATCTGAGCAGTAACACTTCTTTCCCCAAATGAAACCTTTTGCAAAAGACTAATAGAATAAGAAATAAAGACAGAAATTCTGAGGGTGAGGTGGAAGTAAAAGGCCCAAAGGCCCCATCCAACCTATGAGCTCACATCAAGGGAAGGATTGAAAACCCATGAGTATTTCATTTTTCTTCTTTTTATAGGACAGGAAAATGAGGCCTACCTACAAGAACAGACAAGCCCAAGGCCTCAGAGCTAACTCGTGGGCAGGCCAGAACTCAACCTTCTGCTCTCTGGTCCATGCTTTCTCCATAGATCACACTGCCTGAAGAGGTACAGAGGAGAACCAGTGATTGATTATAGCACTAGGGACACAAGCAGCAGAGAGAGACCCAGGAGAGATCATAAAGAAAGAGTATGTGTGTTTGTGGTCATTAAATCACAAAGGTCAAACTAGTCGTTTGATCAAGACTGATTTTATCATTCAACCAGAATCTCACTATAGTATTCACTGCCTTCAGGGTCTATCTCAGGCAACTCTATTTGTAGATAATCCTTGATAAACATGGTAGACAACTCAAATACCCTCTATGACCTTGGAGCAAGGTTCTAGTATGGAGGAGGTACTCTAGTTCCTCATCATCCCCACTTACAAACTAGTATTTGGAAGGAATTATCTTTAATCTTTGGGTCAGAGTTCAATGTCCTAGAGAAATAGTATTATTAATGGTGGTGAGTTTCTGAGAGTAGTCCAGGGAGGCCTATTTGACACATAGTTTAAAATGCTACTAAAAGAATCACTCTTCTTTCAGGAAGAGAAAATTAAAGCACTGGGCTGATGCTTCTGAAGGTGTAGAAGCTGATGAAAGGTACCAACAGGAAAAAAGTAAACATGGAAAAATTATCATAATAAGCGTGAGCTTGTGAACATAAACTGATGTAAGCCAGAGACTTCACCAGCTCTGTAACACTGAGCTGAAACACGTTTTGTCTATGGCCCTAGGTGTATGTCCCTGGGGCTAGG